CTCTCAGGACTGTTAAACAACTTGTAAAATAACTCCCTATATAAATGATGTTATTAGATACCACACTAAATCAAAGTAATGTATAGTAAAGCATGTACATATTTATTGTTTCACATATTTTTGAAATTTGACTAAATTTACCATTTACCTAATATACAAGATTTACATAATATTTAATTTGGGGAATGTGGAATTGAATATGTGTATATTATGAATTATGGGACTGGAGAGATTTCTCAGCAGTTAAGAGCACTGGCTGCTCTTGCAGAGGACACAGGCACAATTCCCAACACCCATATGGCAGCATCCATAACTCTAGTTACAGGGAAATTCAATGCCTTCCTCTGACGTCCACAGGCACTACACGACACAGGTACACTGCATGACACAGGTACATTTACATACATGCAGACAATACACTCATACACCTAAATAAAATATTTTTAATTATAGGAATATTTAACAAATCAGCTAAGAAATAAAAGAGGATAGATTTTGGTAGGAAAAGTGAGAAAAAAATCTTTGAAATACTGAAAATGAACAATAACTGAGATGATTGAGAATTCTTTGGGGGGAAAAAAAAACCTCAATATGTTGTAGAAATGTGAAGTGAGAAGTTTGTGGGGAAGATAGATTCATTTATTTGCCTCTATTTGATCAGTGTATAATGGAGGGAAAATTTCCAGGTAGCTGCATTTAACACTGACATCAAGAGAGGAACAACTACCACACGAGCAGCTGTGGGAAAAAGAGTTTGGCTGCATAATCATGTCAACATGATCATCCTAAGTTCAAGTAATTTTCCAAAGTAAAGTGGTATTTGGATATTTTTCTGATAGACGCTTGGTTTTAAAGACCGGAAATTCATTACTTCATGCCGCGGTAGACAACGGTATCCATTACAAAAATCTCCTGAATACTGATTCAGTGACTAATTCTTTAAAAGCTTTTGTGACTATTCCTTGGCTTTTTGCCATTGTAGATTCTCAGTCGTTTCATTGTATCTCATAGGGTCCTAGAGCATTGACTCGTAGCTCTTCTGGCCATTTTGTGCATTTATACCCTTTATTAAGGGTAGTTTTATTAAGCTTAGAATCTTAGTGGCAAATAAGGCTCCTACGGCTATTATAAAAAAAATTACCATGAACTCTATAGCTACACAAACAACAACAAAATTATCTTTTCATAGTACTAAAGCTGAGTGCCCAAACCTGGCTTCAGTGCACAGGTATTAAGTTCCCAACAGAACCTCTGTGGAATGGCCCTTCTGTTTTCTTTCTAGTTTGTAGTGGCTACCTGTAATTCTTGGATTCTAGCCACATAAGTCTGAATCCTGTCTCTGTTGTCCTGTCGGCTTCTCCTCTAACTTTGTCAAATGTCTTAATACATCTTTTTGTCCATCAAAAATCACATGCAGGAAAACTTTTTTCCATATAAGTGGTGATTTAGAAGCTCTAGTGATTAAAATCTATTTACAAACCCTATGCTGCTTTCAATACATGTATCTCCAGAACTAAAAGAAATTTCTTTGCTCTTAAGCTTGTAGGATTTCCTGGAGATGACGGCATTTTTGTTCTTTTGTCTTCTCCACTCAATAACTCTGGGAAGAACAGAAATTATTCTTGAATATTATATCTCATTCCCCTGTTTACATTACACAACATTCAGGAATCCCACCACCCCTCTGCCATTACAACATATGACATTTGAGTATTCTTTCCACTTCCCTTGCTTCTAATCTAGTACAGTCTTACAGCGTTTCTCACAACAATAAACACTAAAATACTTCCCCAATAGATATCGAAAGTGCCTTTTCTCTTTTATATTCGTCATCCAATCCAGCTTTACTCATAGAGCGCAGTCTTGATTATATTGCTCCTCTCCAATTTTACACGTAGAGCACAGTCTTGATTATATTATTCCTCTCTCATCTCAAACATTTAGTGGAATACTAAAGGTATAATTAAACCTTCAAGCACATAATTATTTTGCTGGTATTTAGTTTTTAATGAATGCTTTTTACAGACTCTCTTTCACTTAAGATTCTCTGACTTTTTAATTTACACTAGACATTAAGCTTTTGATACTTATTATCTAGCTTAATTTTTAATGAATCTATGAATTAGATAGCTTAATTACAGTGATTTATGTAAGTAATCTGGATCACAGAGAGATTACCAGCATCCCTAGGCTTGTATAGCAGTAGGCACAGGTAGCCAGGAAGTTTCCAACCCAGGCAGTCTGACTCTACAGACTTTACTTGTATTTTGTGTTTATTGTTAAGCCCAGTTCTTTCCAAGTTTTCTATACTTTTTCTAATGGTACATTTGTATTTTCCCTTATATAAATACCCTCCATTGTGGCTAAGTTGGATTACTAATGGTTCACTATGTCCAGCTCAAGATTTGAATCATCTGTAGTTTTGTACACTCAATAATTTCCTTCAGGTGGAAACCTTGTTACCTTAAGCTCAGACCAAGTATCAACTCCTGCATGAATGTGTACAATACATTTTCAACAGACTACACTATTTTCTTTCCTTAGTGGAAGAAAGAAAAATTGAGGTAAGAATCAGGAATGAGTTATTACTTAAGAAAGCAGTGTTTCTAGTACAGTCTGCACATTTCACTCTGGATGTCTCCGTGTTCTGGAATGGTGCCGTTACACCTAGTGCCAACCATGCAGACAGGAGTTCTCCTGCCATGTGGCACTCACTCCTGGAGCAGCAGTGCCAGCATCCACTTGAATGGGAGAATGCTGACGGACTGCTTTGCAGATAAGAAATATTTAAGGAATGGAATTGTCCTAACTATGTAAAGAATGAGTACCCACAGTTCTCACAGACTTTAGTTAACTAAGATGAATGTATGCTAATAAAATTATCCCTTTTCCTCCTTTAAAGTTACAAAGCAGATAATAAAGAACAAAATAGAATCCACAGTTTTGAGGGTTCTGTGGGTTCCTGGAAACTCATGCTGTGCCAAGTGAGGTACAGCAAAGTAGCACCTGTCTCTTTCTTCAAATAAAATTTAATAGATAGGAGAGAATTGTGTCTCAGCATTTGTCTTCTCAACTTGAGGGACTGTCACAGTGGCTTATTACTCCATTCATAAAAATAGTCTTTGAAAGATGCATTGAAGTCTATTATAAAAAATTGTCTTTGACTACCTACATCGACAATAAAAAAAAAATACAGGAAGAAGTAAATTTGAATGAATTTTGAGTATGGAAGTGAGTTCAGAAATAATAAACCTAGTTAATATGTTGGGCATGAAGAGATGACTCAAAGGTTAAAAACACCGGGTGCTCTTGCAGAGGACCCAGGTTAGGTTCCCACCACCCACATGGTGTATCCCTGAGGGATCCACAATTCCAGTTGAAGGGGATTTGGTGCCCTCTTCTGACCTGTGCGGGCATTGCATGTCAGGGTTGTACTTGCATACTTGCAGACAAAACATAAAATAAAAATAATAAATAAAAATTTTAAGAGCTAGAATATGTATTACAAGGTCTTTGTTCTTGTGAACCACAGATCTGTTTATTTTCTAATACTAAAACAAATGAGAAAACTCAAACACTGAAAGAAGTCTAGTACTCTAAAGCATAAGAGTTGTTTGAAACATGAGTTAGAATTCCTAGCACATTGACCCAAAGCTTTTATGATAGTAACAAGCGTCTTCCATGTTATACCAACAAGGCACTTTGCCATGTTGTTCTGTAACACTTTTCTTGTACAAAACAGTTTATAGATCAGTGCCACAATGCCAAAAAACAGTTCTTTGAACCATCTGTGAAAGACTAGAATGAAGTGATCCTGCCTGTGAGATCTCTCTTCTAGTAGGCAGTGCTAGCTTCATATCTGGTTAGAAATATTCATTCTCATCAGTAATTATTATTTCACAGGTACAGGTTGTGAGCTTTGCTACAGAACATAACTGGGATTCTCTGGACTTTTATGATGGGGGAGACAACAATGCTCCAAGACTTGGAAGTTATTCAGGTAAAAGAGAAATTTGAGCTTACTTAAGATTCAGATATAATTAGCAATAAAGGGGGAAAAAGAAGAACTCACTGCAACTCTGACAGTTTAATTGAGAATCATGCACGATGAACTAAATTCCAAGTCTTAAAGGTAATGATGTGTCCTTGTGGCTTTTTAAACCATCTAGATTTCTAATTACATTTATACCATGTTTTGTTGATTCTTTTAGGTAAGTGATAATATTTACTGACTTATGGTTAATATTAGGTGTGCCTTTTCCTTAAAAATTAGGTTGAAAAATGGCAATTAAAAATTTGGCTGTGCTTTTGGTAATTATGATATCTTCACTAAACAGAACACTATATAGTCATTAAAATAATCTTAGAGACTGAATACCATAGCAGATGCCATCAAGTACTGTTAAGTGAGAATGGAGGAAATATAAAATTACTTCATTAAAATGAATAAAATTTTATAAAACTAATATCTCTATATGAAAACATACCAGATTTATAAATCTTCTGAGATTTAGTTAGGTTTTAAAGAAGATATGTGCAACATTTCAAAAGTTACTTCTGTTATACAGAAGCAAAAGTCATGAATCTAATTTTGCTATTTTTTTTTTTTATAATTACACCTCTTAAGCTCTAGAAGTATAAATACAAGTACAGATAAACTATGTGTTTACACACTGTAGATAATGTATTGGAAAAGTATGAATGGCTTTAAGCTTTCAAAGAAGTTTTAAAACATAATATAACCAATTATTCATAATCTAATGAGCAAAGGAAAGAAATACCTAGTCTAGAGAGTGGTTTGATTAAATACAACAACATGTTAGATGGTGATTCAGGAAGAAGCAAAATCCCATAGAACTTTGAGCATACTTTCATTTATGTTAAGGGTTAAGTTAATATCCTTACAAATAGTTATAATGATGAGAAAAGTGATTAAAAGGAAAGCAGCTGTTTATCACCAAGTGCTAGCTCTGTGTGAGGCTTGTCAGACACTTCTTCATTTGATTCTCCCAGCAGTCCTCCTGATGATTGAAGTTTACTAAGATTAAATTGCCAGAGGCTGTACAACTACTGTTAGATTGAAACCGGACCCAACTGGGCAGACTCCAACGCCAGAGCTCTTAATCACTAAGGTTCCCTAAAACTCAATGGTCGGTGACCTTTCAAGCTTCTGTTTACCTCTGTCTTCCGAGATCACAGTGGAGGAACTGAGGAACACAGGCTGAGAGCCGAAACAAACAAATGCAAATCAGGCGCATTCTGGAAGGGATTCTTGCGCTTTCCTTCTGGAAGGCACCTAGGAGAGGGCAGACGCACTTGTAGGAAACAAGTGTGAAGTGTCTTTGCTATTCAGAGGACGCCTTGCAGCACTGCCAACTCCTGTTTTTGAACTTCATGTCAAAACAAAATTGACAGTTATTTTCACGCTTGTCATTGAAACTGCTTGAATTGGATTCTTAGAGTATTTGGATTAAATAGGCAAGAACTAATTTGTTCAGGGAGATATTTTATATTTTCAGACTCAATAATTGAATAAAACAAGGTTTGTTTCCTTCAGAAGTTCAGAAATTCATTATCATGGATCTGCTAAGAGATAAGCTGACACTAAATCAAAACTGAGATATCTTTTTTTTTTAAAAAAAAGTTCACTAACAGCTTAACTGGCAGAGTATAAGAAATACCAAGTGCTTGAGGTGGTATTGAATTATTACACATGTTTCATTTATAAAAGGGAAATACATGAAGGTCTGCTCTTAGCCTACAATGTCGGCTATACCTTAAAAAAATCACATGCAAAATTTTAAAATAAGTTTGTTTTTAACTCACACATGGGAGATTGAAATCTCCATGAAAGTCAAAACAGGTGACATGTTAAATTCACTGCTTTTAACCTCACTGTTTCTGTATGTTTCTATTTTTATAGAATTATCTAGAGTCATCTCATAGGCCAGTCTCCTTGGAGACTGAAGTAGTGAAATGAAATAGGATAATGGGAGAAATATTTCTGCTAAAATTTCTCAGGTTTTTGACTAATACCTAATTTTAGTTAACAGTGTATTGGCTGATTACGAGTTTATGCAGTGTTATGTAGTCTCTTATTCGTGATCATTGACCTGCCTTCTCCACTCTCATTTCAGGAACAACAATACCCCACCTTTTGAACAGCACATCCAATAATTTATACCTGAATTTTCAATCAGACATAAGTGTTTCTGCTGCAGGGTTTCATCTTGAATACACAGGTACAGATAATATGTGTTCTCCAGGAAAGTTAAAATCCATGGGTTTATTACAAATATAATGTTGTGTCTATATAAACTATAGCAAGTTATTTAATATTTTTGAACCATTCTTTCATTTCAGCAAAAAAATTATGTAGATAAAATTGTTTTTAAAATTACCAGAATTTTCAAACACAATTTTTTTTTATTATGGGGAGGAATCATATTCACCCTCTTAATAAATTTATACATGTGCAATACAGTTGTATTAGTTACTTTTCTGTTGCTATGATAAGACACCGTGACTAAAGTACCTTACAGAAGGAAGAGCTTTTCGGGTTTATGGTTCCAGAGGGATAAGAGTTCATCATGGTAAGGGAGGCGTGGCAGGAGGCAGCTGAGCAGAAAGCTGAGCGCTCACATCTTCGAGTAGAAACAGGAAGCCAAGAGAGTGTAAAGTTGGGCCAAGACTATGACCTCTCAAAGCCTGCCCCCAATGATGTGTTTCTACCAGTATGGCCAGACCTTCTGAAGGTTCCATGACCTTCCCCAAACAGCAGACCAAGTGTTCAGAAACTTGGAGTCAATGGCAGACAATCTCATTCAAACCCCCACAGCAGTATTAATTGAAACCTAAATGATGTAACTTAAAACTCTAAAACTTACTCATCTTTTACAACTGAAATTTTTTGCTGGTGAAAATTAGCTCTCATTTCTATTTCTCATCACCCTTTGCAATCACTGCTGTACTGTTTATCTGAAAATGACTCTTTTAGATGTCCTATATTTAGAATATGCAGTATTCTTCCTGTGATTGTTTTATTTACTACATAACGTTCTCCAGGTTGTTCTGGGCTGTTGCATATAGAGGTCTAACTTATTATTTTCTAAAGTTAGACAATACTCCATTGTATGTCCATAAAATATTTTTTAATCTTTTCATTTGGTGATAAACATTTAATTTATTTTTATGTCTTAGTTATGGTGTTAACATCACAATGACATAGATGGGCAAATATCTCTTCAAGTTCCCAATTTCAATTGTCTTGGATGTATACTCAGAAGTAGGATTGAGGGAAAATGTGACAAATCCATTTTTAAATAATCTCCATATTGTTTACTATTATGACTATACCATTTTACATTCCAACAGTGTGCACAGAATCTAGTTTCTGACATGCCAGCAGTCTCCTGGATTTGATTTACATTAACCTTGTGTTTGGTGATTTACATTCATTAACAATTTATAAGGCTACTTTGGAAAGTTAGGTTTTAAAGAAACCTAACTTTTTTATTTTTTATTTTTATTTATTTATTTTTTATTTATTTTATGAGTGTGTTGCCTGCATGTATGTAAGTACATTGCTGTCCTGCAATGCCTGTGGAGGTCATAAAAGGGCATTGGATCCCCTAGAACTGGAGTTACAGATGGTTGTTAGTTGCCATGTGTGTGCTGGGGTCAAACAGGGGTCCTCTGCAGGAAAAGCCAGTACTCTTAACTGCTGAGCCATCTCTCCAACCCCTTTGCTCATTTGTAGTCAGACTATTTTTTTTTTTTTTACTATTGAAGTTTTTTGTATTCCTTGTATATATTGGATATTAATCTTTTTCCAAATATATAGCCTGCATATATTTCTGTCATTTTGGAGGTTTCCTTTCATTTTGTTTGTTTGCTTCCTTTAAATTGTAGAAGATGTTTTAATTTGATGAAGTCTTACTTGTCTATTTTTGTGGGATGCACTCTGGTATTATATACAATGGCCAAAACCAACCTTATGAAATTTTTTTTCCTGTGAATTCCTTTAAGAATTGTGCATTTTTGCATAATATATAGAAGACTTTCGTTCATTCTGATTTGTTTTTTAGTATGTTGCAGAGAGTTCATTTTTATTCTTTTGCATACGGATATATGATCTATATTCTATTCTCGTGCTCCATATTTTAACATTTTCATGGCCTGCTGTTTTACTTTAAATGTGAACAACTTTGAATCATTGATTTGTGGTGCTGAGGACTAAACCATGGCCTGGGGCAGGCTAATCACATGCCTTACCTTTGAGTTATCCCCACAACATGACTAATAAATATTTTAAATTAGAAGGTATTATGCATGGAGCTGTGATATCATCTCAGAATATGTTGGTTATTCAATGTCTTCTGTTCTCTCACATGCTGTATTAGTTACTTTTCTTTTTTAATATTTTATTTATTTTTATTTTATGTGTATGAGTATATTGCCTGCATATATGTGAGTGTACCCGTGTCGTGCAATGCCACGGATGTCGGAAGAGGGGTTCAGATTCCCCTGGAACTGGAGTTAATGACGGTTCATAGCCACCATGTTGATGCTGGGAATCAAACCTGGGTCCTCTGCAAGAACAGCCTATGCTCTTAACCACTGAGCCATCTTTCCAGCCCCTGCTTTTCTTTTGTTACAATAAAACACTATGACCAAGGCAACTGCTGGAAAGAAAAGATAATTTGGGTTACTGTTCTAGAGGGATAAGAGTCTATTAAGACAGGGAGACAAGGTGGTAGAAGTGGCCAGAACAGAGGAGCATTCACATCCTAAACACAACAGGAAGAAAAGAGAAAGCAAATTGGAAGTCAGACAAGACTATGAGCTCTCAAAGTCAGTCTCCACTGTTTCCTCCAGCAAGGCCACACCTCCTAAAGGTTCCTTGGCCCTCCTCAAACAGCACCACCAATTAACAGACGCTCAAACCTGTGGGGGCACATCTCATTCAAACCACCACATTCCATTTTTAGCCTTCATAGGCTCATGGGCATATCATAATGCAAAATATGTTTAGTCCAACATTAAAAATCCCCATTATTTTAACAGTCTCAACACTGTTCAAAAGTCTGAGATCACTCTTAATTGGTGTGGCAGTGCAGGTCTTTAATACCAGCACTGTGAGGCAGTGGGAGGTGGATCTATTCAGACTGAGGCCATCCTAGTTCTAGGCTACCTGGCACTACAGGGAGACCCTATCTTAAAAAAACTAAAACCCAAATCAAAATCAAACCAAAAGATTTTCTGAAGTCCTAAGTCAATATAGGAAAGAAACCTAGAAGATTCTTAGTCTTATTCATAAAATAATTTAAGAATAGACTCAAACAGAAGTTTTAGAATGATTTTATTATAATTCAAGGAAAAAGGCTCAGGGCATGCAAATTGTAAATCTCAGCAGCTGCCTTGTGGATGATAACAGACGGGAGAAGGAAGAACACCATGAAGCCATGCTGATTTAGAGTCAACATGGAGGTCAGACATGCAGGAAAGGGAGCTTTAAAGAGTAAATAAGGAATCCAAAATACTGAGACAGCCCAAAACGTTAGTGAAAATATAGTTAGAAAAGCAATATGAACAAGAAAAGGAGAGGTTATGACTTTCTGAGGAATTCGGATTAAGTGGGCAAGATTTGCAGAGAGCCACATGTCTCTGACCCTGATCCATAAGAATTGCACTAAGGGATGAGGATTTCAGGCAGGAAAAGTCCACCATCTCATTAATGTTAGGTACCAGGGTGCAGAACGCAGGAACAATAGAAGGAAGAAGATCATACCTGACCTCAGACAAGACTGAGTTTATTGAAGCACCTCAAATAGAGACATCAGCCTTCCTCCCTGCTGGAATCTACTGTTGTTCTGGGGGAAGGGGCCATTGGGAGTTATATAAGATATAGCTATGGCTGACTGACTACATGATCAGGGGCACTCTTGACAAGTTTATGGACCCCTTATGGCACCCTTTTCTTTGCACCATTTCCTCTGGTTTATCTTGAGAGACAGAGGGTTTATGATCTCTTCTTGGGACCTCAAGGAGACAGACTATCTTGGGAAGCAGGCTGCCTCAACAGTCCTCCCAGGAAGGAAGGAAGTCGCTGATTGATGATGAAGCTCTCTGCAACCAGGGAATTCTATCAATTAATGCACTAGATATTCTACCAATCTCTTTAGAATGGCTTTAGGTGAACTGGCCCTCACTGTCCAGGTGATTGACATGGAAAAACTGTAAAGTTAAGGTTCCAGCCAGCTCAGAGATTTTTTACTCTCTTAATCAACCTTCTATGGGGCTTTTTGCTCCTGTAAATGTTACAGAGTTCAAGATCACTGGGAAAAGACCACTCAGGGTCGAAAAGTTTTGAATCAGCTGAATCAATTTAGCTTGCCAGCGACTGTACTCTTTGAGTCAATTTAGAAAATGCAGCACTTGCTCAGAGGAAAGTAAGGCTTTTAAAGGTAAGGTCCACATCCTGACTGGTAGGTAGAAGATTTACTCAAAGACAAGCAGTCCATGTTTGTTCCTATAGGTGAACAAGCAGGCAGTTACAGAAGCCAGATAGCCACAACTGGAGCCTCCCATGATTCTATGGGTGTTCCTCAGTTCTTCCTGGAACATCTGGCCCTGGACCAGGGTAGAGTCTGGGATGGCTCATCCCATTTGTCTTATACAAAATGGAGGAGCTCAGGCTATTATATAACAAAGTCTCTTCTGAGACTCAAGGCACTCTCTTATGTCTAAGTCCCTAGAAAATTTAAAAAAAAAATGCAGACTTACAGAATAAAGTGGCAGAGATATCCATTCCTATTCAAACATGGAGGACAGGGCTTATTGAGGAAATACAGGACCATAGTGTAGCAGAGTTCAGGACCATTGGGAAAACCCATTCAAACTCAATAGAATTAAAATTAGCCAAATCTTTATTCTAACTACGCATAGTGACCACTGTCCGAGGATAGGCATGGAATCTCTGGTGCCCTTCTAATTAAGGAGGGAGTCTTTAAGGGTAAAGAACACATTGCTTTATCTTGTGGAATGTGCAGTTGTAAGAGGAGAGATTACACTTCCCTCTGAGCCTAGTCATAAACATGTATTCAGAATCCAAAAAAACAATAGTTAATAACCCCACGACAGTCACAGGACCGATGGGCATTTAGGGGTCAGGATTGCTGTTTAGTTTTTGGAAAATAAAAGGAAAGACAGAGTAGGAGACAAGAAAGAAGAGCCACACCTG